CTGGCATCCTGGGTTTGAAGGCCAGCTGCTCCGAAGCCACACCAGCTTAGTCTTGAGAACTCCTGACTCGTGTCCTGGAAATCCCTCTTTCCTCTCTGGCCCCTGCAGCCACCCCCTGGACTCACCCATAACAGTTCTTGCCATCTGTTTCTGGTCATGTAAATTTCTGCCTATGTGTTTTTCCCTTCCCTACAGACACACACGTGGCAGTTTGTGGCTACTGTGACGGGCCAAGTGGAGGAGCAGAAGGGGAGAGGCGAGGGAGCTGCAGGGCTTCCTCCCTTGCTCCCCCGCTCCGTCCCGTCTCCTCTCCCACGGTGCTCACACATGGGGCAAATGCTTTCTGAGCACTGCTGTGTGCCAGACACCACTGATGCACAGAAGCATCGTGACAACCAATCCCCAGTGGAAACAAAATCAAGACACAGAGAGGAAGGGGCAAGCCCAGGTCACACTACAGGAAGAGTGATGCTGTGTGCTCTGAGCTGGGAGTTGTTCTAAGGAGCCAGTGGACCCAGAATCAGAAACCACTGCCTGGCTCCAGGCTTCATGCATTCTCAAGTCTGAGCTCTCATCCCTTCCCTCCAAGTTCCCTAGCATCTACCTTGTATTTCTGAGATGGGACAACTGGCACTAATTTACCACTCTGTTTGGGGTTCTGAAAATATAGTCACCTCCCCCCACAGCCTTGATAGGATAAGACAAAAGGGATTTTGAATCTGATGCTACCAGTGGGCAACGTGGGGGTCTAAAGAGGCTGAACAAGTTGCCCAGCATCTTCCAATCCTCCAGCCGAGCAAGCGACCTCCAGAGCTTGGTGGATGCTTTATTCAAGCTGGATGTCCCTCCTCCTGGCTACCCTCCTCCCTCCCCTACCAAATCTCTCACCAACGTTTTCTCCTCCAGGTTGACACTATGATTCACCCAGTTTCCGGGTGTCCCATGTCCTCCCCTGGACCACAGCACAGGCTCCCTTACTACTCCATCTCACCCTCCAGCCTGTGTCCTACCTGGCCACAGAGTGACCTGACTGCTCTCTCTACCTCCTTTCTAAATGTTTACCGAATGCACCGGTCTCTTCCACAGCCCAGGTTGGACACATCCCACCCTTTCCTCCCATTGTCCCCTTTTCCCATATCACATGCCTTTCAAACTCCTGTCTATCCTCCAAGGCCCTTCTCCAATATCCCCTCCATTAGAAGTCTTCCCAGATCACCCCCACCAGAATTTTCCACTCCATTCCCCACACCCCCATGCAGCAGAAGAGTTCCTGTGCAGAACCTCTTCCCAAGAAGGCTGAAGACTTCCAGACACACCCTACTCAAGCCCATGAAATGGATCCAGCCCACATATTCAAACAAACATTAGGTCACCAGGGACATGGCCAAGTTTAGCCACCTGACCTGTTTTTAACTCAGGTCACTATCCAATCACCTTTCCCCCCTCTCTATTCCCTGCATTTGCCCCAGACCCCCCCCCCCCACACACACACCCATGGCAAAGTGAAGGGAGGTCCCCTGACTCTTTCCTGGAGTAGTTTTCATTTCTCAGGGCTGCTTCCCTCCCCAGCCCTCCTCTTCTTCCCCTTGTTGCCTAACATTTCAGAGTGGAGATGTCATCTTCAAAATAGGTAACTGAGAGGGATGCCCTGGAGGTGTCTACACAGCCTGTGGCCAGCTTGCTGGAGTCTCCAGCACTAAGCACTACAGATCTCCTGGGGAGGCTGGGCCCCACAGAGCTGGCAGCAGTTCCCCAAGGGTTCTTGCCCAACCCCACTAAGAGCTTGCTTGTTGGAAGAAGTTCCATTGCAAAGACCACCACCCCGCAGGGCCATGTCCCCAAGTCAGGAAGTAGGATCCAGTACAAAACCTGGCCCAGAAAGCCCGGGGGCTGCACCTGAACTGCAATGGAGGAAGTGTTCACCACCGATCAGACAGGACGTGGGCGGCCTGACTTTATATACCTGGAAATGTCTGAGCGTTCTGGCCTCGGTTTGCAAAGGACAAGTTTTAATCCTCCTGCAGGTGCTTGGCAACGAATTCCAGTTGGCAAACCACCTTCCTTGTGGTGCACACAACAAAAAGCTCTCACTCTTTATCCTGCGGGCCTCAGCAGGAGAATAGTTAAGCCAATTCTGTATCAACAGAGGCTGGACCAAAAGCATGCGGAGCGGCTCCCTGGGTAGCCTCCTACACGTGAAGGTGCTCAGGTGTGGAGAGAAGCCTTCCAGGGTGGGCTCCAGGGAAATTGAGACCTGTATCTAACCCCGCTGTGTGGGCTGCGGGCTGAGCTGAATCCCTGGCAGGTGTGATGGTCCTTTCTAGCATACTTCTCCCCCAGCCCACCCACCGTGCCCAGAAAGCCATGGGACACAGAAGTAATGACATGGAGCAGGGAGGGTGCCCTGTCAAGCCAGTAGAAGAATCAACATTACTCTAAATATATTTATGTGATGCTAACTTAGTCAGAACGAGTCAACACATTAGAAAGCCGGACCTGGCAGGTATTCCACTGTGAAAGACAGTGATTTCTTGCAGAGAATACCCACAGTTCTCTTATAGATGTTAAATACAGTCCCCAGGGCAGGGACTGTGGTTTGTTTGACAGCTCTGAGTGCCGCCCTAGCATGTCACCTCCATGGATATTTTGTAAGGGGAGGTGATGAACGATGCTCTGAGCTGCAGGTCTGTGTCACACAGTAGGTGCTCAACAGTTGCGGTTCAGGATGAGTGTGTGGCACTCACCAGGCAACTTCTATAGTCCTTAGAGCCACTGTATGATGTAGATTACCATCATCCCCATTTTGCAGACAAGAAATCGAGGCTCAGAGATGTGGGGACTTACCCGAGATCACAGCTAAGAAGTGGAGCAGCACACTGAGTGACCATATGAGTGACGGAGGGGGCCGGGTTTTTTCAGAGTAGGGAGTACACAGAGTGGAGTCCTGGGCTGCCCTCTGTCTCTTTGGAGCACCAGATCCCGGCCCCAGATGGACCAGGACCAGCCACCCTCCCAGAGTAGGCAGAGAGCCAAGCAGAAAGAACCAGTCTGGATTGCCAAGAGGACACAGCATCCTTTAATCACGCTGGACAAGCAAAGCAGGGGCGCAGGCAGCTGGGAGGTTTTATAGCACCAGTCTTCTGAGCACTGGGTCAGGACCTGCTCCAATCACCTGGCCATGTGGCTCCCTTGGCTGTGAGCACCTGAGACCACCCCCTGGGGCCCCTCTGCCCCAGAGTCTGCAGAAGCACCAATGGATGGCAGCCAACCCTCTTGGCGAAGAAGGTCAGGCTGCCTGGGTAGAGGAGAGGAAAGCTGGGGGCCACCAGGTTGCCCACACTGGGAAAGGGAGAAGACACAGAGGCTGCTGTCCCCTCTTTGCCTTGGCCTCTCCTGGTGCCTAACATGACATCATGGCTCAGAGGAGGACCCCTGAATGACCTGGAATGTTGCCTGCTTCAGGTCCCCAGGCCTGCTGAGGGCTCCAAAGCCTTATGCCTCCTGTCCTGGCCACCACTTCTTGGTGATATAGGGCAGCCCAGGCCTGAGGAGGGTTCTGTGGGTGGTAGCTGCCCACAGGGGCTTTAGCACCTTGATAAAGCTTGGACATTTAGGGATAGTGGGCTGGACAGAGGGACAAGGAAGGTCAGAGAGCACCTAGGGACAGACATTGTGTCTGACAGTGGCTAGAAGTCCTGGGGAAACTGAGGCTTAGACACCTCTGGTAGGAGGGACTGAGCAAGGCCCTGGCAGTGCCCTAGGAGGAGGTAGAGAGGGGATGCTGGTGTGGAGGGCAGGAGTCCTTGCAGCTATGTGGGAACTGGGAGTCTGGGCTGCATTCCCCAGGGCCCCCATCACCCCTAAACGTCTCCAAACTCCCTGTTTCTCTTCTCACGGGAGAGAGACCTGACTAAGGACCCTCCAGGGTTTGCTTTAATGAGGGGCATTGGGCAAGAGGATGAGGAATGGGAAGAGGGTACCCCGCTACTGTGGGGATGGGGTGCAGTGGGTTATGAGAGACCTGTGGAGGATGAGCGCTCAGACACAGGCCTGCCCTTGTGAACACAAGGACAGCTGTTGTGTTCTCTGTCCACCCATCTATCTCCCCGCCTGGGCTGGACAGGGTGCTCCCTGAGGGTGGGGCAGGGCCTATGTCTGATTCACCTCCCCCTTCCCGGGCCAGATGCGTAGGACACTCTCAGGGCTTGATGACTGAGGAAATGAACTGTGGCTGCAGAGGAGAGAGAAAGAGGGGTAGGGCATGGAGAATAGAAGGGGCAGTCCTAGAGTAATGGGAGAACTCTAGAATGTTTGGAAGATTCCAGAAAGTTCAGAAAGTACTAGGATGTTGGGAAAGTTCTAGAATGTGGTTACTTAAGTGTGGTTCATAGAAAGCATCAGTGTCACCCAGGAACTCGCTAGAAATGCAGGCTCCTGGGCCTGCTCACACCTGCTGGATCAGAATTTGTATTTTTTTTTTTTTTTT